TTCAACTAGGAGTTTATATGTCAAGTATGAGTTTTGTTTTGGTGAATGAATAAACTTCAAGTAACTCTGTTTAAGTAACATGAAAAGAAGAGGCAAATACTTTTATTATATAATTAAGAACTTTATTAATAGCAGTCAGTCATTATAAACACTTCAAACCAAGCTAACTAAAATTTATCTGAATAAATATCTATGCTCCGATGTTTTAATCATTTCGAAACAAGAAACAAGTTATATATAAAAGTGTTTTTCAATAATTAGATATAATAATCTGAATTTCCGTAAAACATACCAAATCATAGTTTTCCTCTTTACTAAATTAAACTATAGTAAAGAATATACAAGTTATTATATCCATTAGAATACTACTTTTCAAGTTACATGCATAAATAAAACATCCCAGAATATTTTCGTTCTTAGAAATAACGTAATCTAGTTCATAACCAGTTATTGAGAAAAAAATTTCCACAGTTTATAGAAATATTGAAATTATCTTCATATGTAACAATGAAGGAGTTTTATATTCAATCTTAGAAACCGGTTTATGGATATATCTAAAAATATACAACTATGTATTTAAACAAAAAATAATAATAAAATAACCTCTCTAATAAGATTTCTGAAAAGTGATTGACATGTAATCCAGTTAAACTGTTTTTCATCTAATCTTACTTTATATTGAATGTTTGATAGTAAGATTATAGACTAAAGTATAAATTTATTTCATTTATAAGTGGGTTAGAAAATGCTGAATTAAATAATTATGTATGAATGTATTTTGAACATGTATACTATGTAATATGAAGCATTATTTGTAATTATTAATATTGTGCCTGCTAGTCAAATAAATTGATACAAGCAAAGAACAACTGTCATTGTTTTCTTTTTTTGTTGTTGTTGTTTTTGATCTAACTAACTAAAAATATACCAGTTCAATAGAATAATCTAGAAAGAGAAGAGAAATAAACACCATGGAAATGTCACAATTGATTGATCACTGGGTGGTGATCAATGTCATGCTTGTCTAGTCCTTACTAGTGCAGATCGAATGCTATCGATCATGTTGCAATGTGGCCAACAGTCTAGGTGACTCGACACTGCGGGCACTATGTATTGGGATTTAGATGGTGGTTGGAGGTGGCTGGAGGCTCGGATAGCTCAGTGGTAACGTCTCTGACTGTGAAGCTGAGTGACACGAGATGGAATCCGCCAGGGAGCATCAGTTCCCTCAAGATTACAGGTACACCTTGCTGACGAGTGCCAAGTAGCACGAAACCCGGGTCCAGGGTTTCCTGTTGACTACCTCCAACCACCATCGAAACCATGGAAATGTGTCAATAATATATGTTGAATATTATGTTTGAAAAGCCATCAAAATATCATCAATTCGTTTGAATTTGATTTCATCTTGTTCATAAATATATAACACTTTTCAAATATTATAAATTGTCACCAATTGTTGATTATGTTCAGTATTAGGTATATTAGTAAATGTAATAACAGTTTTAAGTGACAAATAATATTGAGAAAAGAAGAACTCTTCTTTGACCATTTACATTTTATCTAACAGTTATGTCCATGTTTTCAAATAAAGAGTTCAACCTAGTCTGTTGTGAGATAGTAACTCACTGAAGACAATGGTGGATCTGTCGCTCAATTTCGTGGATTAGTTGAAGTTAGACATTAACACCGTTGGATGCTAGCTCAGTGGTCTAGTGGTTAAGTGCTCGTGAGCGGAACCAGTGGGTCCCGGGCTCGAATCTCGCAGGGGGCGGGGTAGTGGATGCGCACTGCCGAGGAGTCCCATAACAGGACGAATCGGCCGTCCAGTACTTCTGAGTTTCCCATGGTGGTCTAACTTCAACTGACTCATGATCTTAACCACTGAAATCTATTTGAGTGAAATTTCATTCAAAACTGACTTGTTCGTTTCACTTAAGTAAATGTTTAATGACTAATCGACTTGCAGTATCGTATATTTTTACTGAATATTCTTAATACAATTAAGAAAATATGGAGTAGTTTCCTGAGAATGCCATAGGTTTTATTTCTGACTTGTTAGATCAATTCTAATTAAGAGAACTTAATACAGGAATATATTTTCCATTAATTTTTGTTTTGTTTTAGTGGTTAAACTCATCGTAGGCTTGATAATAATTTCACCAGTTTGTTCAATACTTACAGCATGATAAAATCTTCAACTTTCGGTTTATTTTACAACTTTAGATAAATGTTCTCTTTATTTCAGGAAGAGATGAATGATCGCTAGCAGTGGAATCCAAGACGAACGTTTTGTCCCAATTGAGACTCGTCAGCTGAATGTTCCTGCGTCCCAGAGTTGATGTTCATTTCGAGACTAGAACACAGTGCCGTTCACTTCAACCTCCATCACGTTATCCATTTAACTACTGAGTCCTGATTTAAGGCAATGTCGAGGTGATCCGCACAGGATGCACATATGCCAATAAGAGGCTGATCAATTTCCGTTCTAAACATCACTGGGAAGACTTAAACAACCAATACAAAATAAATTATTAATTCTCTTTATTTGTTTATCAGCCGTTGTGCAAATCGATTTTCAGTCTAGTTGTTTAATAATAAAAACCGTTTTACTGATTTATTAGGGATTTGAAATTCCGTTTATCCGAAAGTAGAACAAAGAAATAGCTCTAGATATTTGAGTTCATGAAATATCATTTTATTTGTTTTTATTCACCAAATTGTTGTATCTCTATACGGTTTCACGCTAGAATAGTCTCCAATTGGTTCACTTGATTTCATGCTTGAGACTATTTGTAACTTTCAGATAATCGTCTTTTGAAAATCCTTTATAAGGTACCCCTAAGGGAAATTTATCATGAAGCAAATAAAAAAAAATCTCATCATCTACATTTCCAACTATATTCATTCCAAATAATATGAAAAGTAAATAATGTTATCAGTAATGACCATTGCACAAAAGACATAACTGAACTACATTAATTATGTCCTCTTACTAAATCTTCGGACATCCATCTTGAAGTTGGTCACTCGCTAGTGATTCACTCCTTTATGAATATTTTATTATTTTATTAAAATGTTGTAACTGATGAAGTAACAAATTATGTAAACCCTTTAGATTAGTTTTGACATTCACTGACTATGTTTCTCTCTGATAGTTCAAATTTCTTGCAACAAATATGTTCTCTTCATAAATTATAAGAAATCAGCCAGGAAGTCTGCTAATTAATTTTTCATAACTTGATTTACTATTATCAACTGTTGACCAGGATACAGGTATGATTTGGTAGTTTCATCATTGTTTTTGATTCAACATTAATTTAGATTCCATTTGGGTGAATATAATCTTACATTTTTACAAGTGTGATTTTCAATCATTCAGAAATCAAGTATTCTGATTATAGCATTAAAAGTAATCTGAGTAAATGCGAATCCAACGATTGGGTCAATGATGCTGGTACAATTTATGATTAGGTATTATTTGATATCGATTTTTTACACAAGAATTAATTTTTTATTTTCCAATAGTATTCCACAGGCAGATCTCTATATGAAGATGGTTTGTATAAAGTACATCATGCATCCCTTTCTGAGATAAGTTCATAATAACATAGCTACAGAAAAATAAATTAAAAATCTATCATTATCAAAAATATTAAGATTGAAGCAAGAACTAAAGATAAATTGTGATGATGACTACGTAATATACCACGTGCTTCGTGAACAGATCTTTTTCAAATAACAAAGGATAACGTGAAAATAATATTTTATTACCCCCAATTTATTTCCTTAAAGATAATTAATTTTATTAACTTATTTATTCTTGAGTAGTAAGAAGCATTCAGCAAAACAACTTCAACCAATATTGAATCAATATTGAACTATATTGAAAATAATCAATATGTTCTGACGAACTACATTCTACACGTTTGCAGTTATGGGTATATTCTTGGATTTTGATTAGCAGCAGAATTGAAGATTCGAATGTTGTCCTATATAGGACTCAGTAGATGGATATTCCTGCGTCCCAGTGCTTGTGTATACAACTGAACCTCAGTCAAGTTACTCACTATCCTGCTGATTCCAGATGGTAAATGACTTCTTAAATACTTAATATCATGATTAATGTTTATACTAGATGATAACTGTTTTTTACATTATTGAGCATGTTATTCAAACTATAATATGATACCTTGAAGTTTATTCTTTCTGATAGGAGTGATTACTGGAATACATATTGGACAGTCCTGCAAATTACTGGTTCATATATTATGCTCGTTTCTTTCATATATATATGGAGAGAAAGAGATTTCTTCATAAATTAGGCTTCCAATAAATTAGTGAAGAAGCATTTTAATTCAACCTCTATCAACCTTACAAGGTTACTGGAATTGAAAAAAAAAATCTCACCGCACCGGTCAAATATGAACATGAATTTTATGACATTGTTAAATCTTCTTTTATACGAATACATGACATTTTGAAATAAATTCGTACTAAATTTCTCAATTTACTACACAAAGTAAAACCCATTTGTCCATCAGTCCTGGGGACTTGTGAAGAATCAATTGTATTGTATAATAAATCCTTTAATTTAATTAACTTTACAAAATGGTTATCACTTAAAATCCATATAATTAAGAGGATTTCTTGTTATCAATCAAAAATATTTCTTCAAAACATAAAACTTATTGAAAATAATAAAACTGAATGGATTTCTAGTTTATTCTATTATAACTAGGCGTAAATTTAATTTGTTTCCAAAAAAATGGTAATTTCATTTAAATCCATCACAACTAAATGCTTTATTATTGATTTGTCCATGAAATTCATTTATCAGTGAATGAAATATCTAAGATAATGTGCTTCTGATATGTAGGACAAAAGTCATTCTCAGCATTATTTGTTCACCTTGTTGATCTTGTATTAAAAGTCGGACAAGTTAACGCAGGAACAGAAATGTAACCTAAAGTACTTAAAGTCACTTCTGGATATTCAACATGTTAAATGGATTAATACGACCAAGCAATAGATTACTTTTTTTAAAATTACCTAGACAGTTGGCAACAAATACTGCTTTTCTGAATACTGTGATACTGGCTAGCTTTCAAGGAATATTACCTAGATCCTTAGATATTATAATAGATTTAACCAATTTCCTAACATTAATTTGGTTTCGACGACAAATTTATCAAACATCGAAATATATTTTTTGGAAAATTGTTGGTTACGGTGCTGGTGTAAAACAAGTCTTAAAACGTTTCAATGAGCTTACCTATTTAATTAAATCATAAGGGTCCGATGCCTATTAGGCACTAAATTGGCTATACTTTATCGAAATAGACATCCAACAATTTCATCCAAATCTTAGATATGAGCACTAATGCCTATCAGGTGATCTAGAATACGGTTTTTATTTGGCAGATAAAGCTATCGTCGATTGTATTCAGGCTAAAATACGTTGAATTTCCAGTAAACTCAATGGAGAATCTCCGACCTCTGAGATTAAGCATACTTCAGATTCATACTATTCCGAGGTCTTATTTCATGTTACCTACTGTCTCAGCTACAGTAGCTTATCATATTTAGAGTTAAATGATTGGAATGTGATATGTCATTTAGTTTGATTAGTAAGAATCGGGCATAATATTCAAGTTTTAATTAACTGGAGAGTTGGTGTCCTGCAAAACCGACATTTAATGTTGTTTTTTCTCCCGTTAATAACTTGTATTTAAATATGTTATTTTGCTAGAAAAAAAACCATCGTTTGATATCTATTTATTTGGGTGCTTATATTAATAATTCGTTCATGCGAACTCAATTACTTAGTAATATTTAGTCACTGACTGACATAAGATAGACTGCTGTTTCTGATTTATCTGATCAACTCAATTGTCAATGTAAATTAATAGATTTTATTTATCATTCTACTTTTTTTCTGATTTTACAACAATTAGGTAGATACTGCCAAACAACTAAGGAAAAAAGTTGATTAACCCAATCTTAGTTAAATAAATTATTTATAACTAATCTACATAGTCCAAGTGGATATTAAAAGTATTTCATTATACTATATGAATGTGTTCTATAAATTAAACTAAATAAATACATTTTATGATATCGTCAAAATGTGTATTAACAATTTTGCTTGGTGAATATATCATATATATTTTACTTATTGTGTATATGAAAGCTTAAAAAGATACACTTTCAAAACCGCTTACCATTTCTGTTTAATGTTATTATTTAATGTTTATTATTATTATTATTATTCTCTATTATAAAATGGCTAAAACGTTTCTCTTCTTCTTATTATTATTATTATTATTGAAACTCTTTCTGAATCTACAGTTCATAGAATAATGGTTATTAATCTTAAGATTATAGTTAAAAGCTTTTAAATTTCCCACTTCTAATATACAAAAAATAAAATTTGGTTAAAATATTTATTAATACCATTAGTTTAATTATAATACAAATTCCAATTATTTCGGGAGTAAATACTCATGTTCAATTTCAATCATTTTCAGTAGCTTCATTATTCCTATATTTGCCTAACTTTCTTTTTAAAAAATGTTGATAATTAGTACATTCAAAAAGATCCATAATGGATATCGAAATTTTAAAAGGCCTCACATCTATAATATTAAAAATGAAATACATTTTATTGTTTCCCTCTTATACGCGTAGACGTTTCAATGCAACAGTTCAGCCCTGTGATTCACCAAGATAATTAACAAAAACTGTTTAAACCTTGAGAAAGTAGGACAATGAGACTGTTATTATGGTATCTGTTGAACGAAAGTGAATAGATTAAGTTTTGATGTTTGAAGCTATAAGCGGTCAGGTGATGCTTCAATAGGAATGCATGATATATGTTTATTCAATCGACAGTTATCATATAGTACGGAAAGTACACCTTAAATCTCATCTCCTGTCATAAAAATACTCTGTATTACTTTAAATTTTATAACTGAATTATTAGACACTTCTGTTACTCATATATGATACCCCTAATGATCTTTCATTTCTATGTTAAAGTAGATTTACTTGGCAAGTTTTATTTTCTTTTGACCTCTTGTCAAATTATCTATGGTCCATAGATTTTTTCTGCTCGGAAATTCCATAAGATTTTTTCCACATTATATTTGTTACTTTTTTAAAGTGTCTGTATTTGTAAAGCACGTGAATTCGATGAGTGTTTTATGTTCATCGTCTAGCAACAAATAAGTATCTGAATATAAATCTGAATACAAGCTTTTTTGGCATTAAAGCTTTGTAGGGATCTGAAAAGTCTTTATTCTATGTTCTTCCACAATGGTTTATGTAGTCCTATCCCTGTAATTCAGAAAAGCAAAACAAAATTATTTTGAAACATAAGTGATCAAAAGCAACTTCAAATAACTGAAAACTATGTATCTTATAGGAACATGAATGACATAGAATCTGCAATTTGAATTATGCTTGATTTAAAACCATCAAAAAGAAGCTATCGACCCAGGTTTATGCTAGTTTAAACAAATTAGTGGAATGTATTTACAAGCTTGTTGGAACTTATAATTCTGCCATAACTGAAGACTGACAACTTGTAGGACTGGAACGTTTAAATCAGCTGATAAGTTAGTAGCTACTAAGGTCCTATTTTCTATTCTTCAATGTTGTTTATGCTAAACAAAAGTACATCGTAAATGAGTATGGTAGTAATCAAGTTGAAAATATCTAAACACTTCAATATGCGATCAATTCGTGTAGTAAGAATGATAAAGCTTCCCTTCGATTACACTAAAATTTAATTACTTATACAAGAAACATTATTTAGTCTATGAATACATAAGTTCCGTCCATGTGATGTTAATGTTGCAGTTAGTTGATGTGAGACGATGAAGATAAAATGGACTTATAGCATTCTGCTTCCATGAGTGAACTTGTTCTTAAGAATAAAAGATAACCACTTCTCTCTTTATCCTTTGAGCTTTATCAACTATAAGCAATTAATTTTATTTCTCATAAATAAACTTTATGAACTTAGTTAAGTTTGAAGCCCAACCTGGTACTTGAGTTTCATTATATTACATAGTGATCCTTTAGTATCAAATTATTATAGAATAAACATGATTCGAAATCGACCATGAAGTGAATACTTATATTTGGTATAGTATGAGGTTCTAGCTTGGTATAAATGTTTACGTACAAAATTTAAATAAAAGTCAAGGGTTAAAATTATGTGACCTGAATAGTCAAATATATCTATAATAAGGAATACCAATGACTGTTCATGATAACTATTCTACTTGGATAACTGACATAAATGAAAGAACTTGAAAGAAAAATGCCTAACTATGAAATCTCAGCTCAATCGATACATTCTTGTATGTTAGGAATGTTGCTCCATAAACCAATTACACAATTTTAGCTTTAGATCTATTACATCTTTCACATCTGTTGGAGAGAAAACATCGATTCGGTATTATAAAACTTATATATTAGTGCAGAGTCTTGATGGGAAACTAGTTTTTTAAAAATATTTCTGCTCTCGACTTTGGCTTTTAATTACCATATTTATATATAGCTCAATGTAATCAACTAATCGAAATATATTCTCGAGTATTATATTGTGGTAGTATTGACTATTATTCTAGTAATTGAACTTTTTATTATAAAAGACTGATCTTAATCGTCTTAATCGGCTTTCGTGAATTTGATATACTATAATTAGCTTGAGAACATTCATTACTTCCATCAATTGGAATCAAAAAAATTTCCAGTCATTTACTAGCAAATTGTTTAATATTCATAAATGAGCCAATTTAAATCACGCACGAACTTTTGTATTCTTACCTTCAAGTACATTTAACTGTACCATGTTTAGCTGGATAGCTTGTGAATGTTTGTTTAATTTTTCATCACAGTTATTAATTCTCCATCAGTTTGTAATGAAAATAGCTTTCACAGGGGCTACTGATAGTTGCTCATCTGTAAAAACGGGTGGTGATCACTATTCATTACCAGTCAGGTGTAATTTTAGACTATAAATATACAGATATATTAGAAATTAGCCATAATAAGAATGAACAATATCTTATTTTTCTACTATTGAAGTACCATCATTTTACACCAGAAGTAAACATAATTAGACTTAGATTACTATTTGATTAATAATAACAACAACAACGATAACAAAAGTTAATATTGGAAATTATTGATTTTAAATTACAGTTAAATGCCAAAAGGTGGAATCCATAACATAACCATCTTCATTTAAGGACTACTTCATGTTGTTAGTATGACGTTTGACAGCCATAGTGTTTTCTATAGAACGGGAGATTTACATTAATCATATATTAAAATTTGGATAATTTAAAAAACACTACACCAGTAGTACATTTGTCTGGTATGTTTTAAAAACATGCAAACTTCTATTTTGCATTGTAGAAGCAGCCTTCCACTGTGTATAAACCTTATGTGATTGACATACATCATGTGATGAATAAAACATTAAAAAACAACCCATCTTTTCTTTTCATTAGTAATTGCGTAATAGACCACAACAGCACTATCGACAATACAATAGTTTCTTAGCAAATAGATAAATTGGAGACTGAAAATGTGGGGACAATGGAAGGTAATTACACTTTTGAACAGGATTCTTAAGCAATCTGTAGACATGATCTAACTTCATTTCGAATATGAGAGTTTCGTGAGTCTTGCAATGAATACGATGGCATTTAACATCTGGATTAGAAACCGATGTTTTGCAATCTCTAACATTAATCAAAGCTTTATTACTATTCATCCTATGGTCAGGTTAGGAAAAAGTCTATGACTGTACGAAAAAGTTAGTCTCAGTTGACTAATGCATGTTTGGTAAGAAAAAGTTGTTAAAGTAAAAAGTTGGAAATGTTAAGATGGAAAATATATGAAACAACAAGAATACTACGAAGGGATGAAAGGTAACAGAATTTTTAATATTTATGGGGTTTATTTCCATTATAAGTTCAATAGCTATGTACAAATTATCCGAATATAAGAACAATACAACCTGCTTAAATTTCTGTAGTTGTGTGAATACAGTTTACAAAGCCTACATTGCATAAATTGTGATTGAATTTGATTTAAGATATGAAAATAGATTTGAACAAAAATCTGACACCATCTTGAGAAATATTGAAAACTGGGGAGCATTGGACAGTTGATTTTCTCCCAACTTAGAACTACTAGATAAGTCACATCTTCGAGTCCATACACAATGCTTATGCACAACACGCTTTTTTGAGGTCATCTAATTTATCCCTTC